TGAATCTGTATAAGCATGCTGTGTTTAATTTAAAAGCAAAAAATAAAATAATTAATAACAAAACACCAAAATGGACAAGCTTCTAACAGAAAAACTGCCAAAATGATTGTATGGCACTTCAGTTAATATGCAACAAAAATCAAAGGGTTGGGTAAAGTTGCTATAACAGTAACTGTAAAGCAGACGTGGGGAAATGGTATTGATCTCCTAAACAGCACTTCACAGAATTCCATCTGTTTTATTTTTACAGGCTATGCATAAAAAAGAAGTCAAGCTTTCTGTGTTGTCTGTTTGTGATGGCAGAGAAACAAGGAACACCCTGTTTGTGTGTTTGCTGTGTAAGATTTACCTCTGGCTTCCAGCTCCAGTTTCTTTTTCCTGGACCAGATATTATGATAATTCTCCGCAAGCAGCTCTGCCATTGACTGGAGAAGTAAATGTTTGACATGTGACTCTTTTACACTGCACTGATCAATTCATCCATCAATCAATCTGCATTATCAGCTCCCATGAGTAATCTGGCTTTGCATGCATTGTGTTCTTGTGAATAATTTACCTGCAGGTCTCTGGACAATGTCACGTTACTCATATCAGTGGGTCTTGGACTGAAAGCTGAAGCTCCTTCAAAAGAAAGCTGTTGGAGATTGAACACACAGCATTATATATGATGTCACCTTTCCCTTTGATCCATAATGAGTACCTCGGGAACAAATGTAAGATTGGGTGGTGTTCATATACACCTGACTGGCCTGTGATATCCTTCTGGGCTTGTTGTGAAGGTTGACAGAGTCTCCCTCTCTGATCCTGTCAATGCTCCAACCCCATGAAAGCATGGTCTTCAGAGACTCTCTGATGGGCCAGCAGTATGTCTCTTTATCCTGCAAAGTCACACTTTACTTTCAGATGTGCTGCAAAAACCGAACATGCATGAACTCAGACACACCAACAAATGATCTTCTGCAGGATCATTTGATCACATGTCTGTTCCCACATCAGCTGATACATTTCCATTCATTCAATTAGTAAATCTCATTTGATAACTTTGCAGTTATTTATTTGTAAAAAATGTTTGGAATCATGTATGATTTTCGTTCCACT